CTTTTTCTCCAACAAGCTAAACTCCAACATGCAAAAATAGTTTGCATATTCTTGAGAATTTTATGCTATAACTGAAGCAATTACAAAATTCAGACATTACTTACTAGGCCATCCATTTGTCATTAGAATTGATTAAAGAAGTTTGCAAAGTCTTATTGATTAAGCAATCCAAACTCCAGAGCAACAAGCTTGGTTACATAAGTTATTAGGTTATGACTTTACTAATGAGTATAAACCAGGAAAAGACAATATTGTTATTAACTTCTTATCTCGTTCTTTTCTTATGGCTTGGTCCTAGCCTCAGTTTTATATTCTACCTAGTCTTAAGGAAGCAATTGTCATTGATCCAAAAATGAAAGAAGCCTTAGATCTTTGTTACATAGGTAAATCTCTTCATCCCAATTATACTACGCATGATAAATTGTTGTATTGGAAGAATTGTTTAATGATACCTCCACATCATGCCTTAATTTCATAAATCTTATATGATTTCTATAGTTCCTTGGTTAGGGACCATTTTGGATTTACAAGAACTTTCGCAAGGATAGCTTCTCAGTTTTATTGGTAAAGAATGCATCAAGTTATTTGCAAGTTTGTTTAAACTTGTCTCATTTGCCAACAAGCTAAGGCTACCACTACACTTTTCTTGGGTTTGCTGTAACCATTACCTATTCAAGATCAAATTTAGGGAGAGTTGGCCATGAATTTTATCATAGGTCTTCCATCTTCTAATAGTTTTATTGTTATATTGTATGTTGTGAATTGTTTGTCAAAGTATACTCATTTTGCCTCATTGAAAACAAATTGTTCCATCAAACAAGTAGCTGAGTTGTTTATGAAAATAGTTGTTAAATTGCATGGTGTCTCTAAAACAATTGTTTCTGACAGGGATAAGGTATTTACAAGTAACTTTTGACAACATCTTTTCAAGTTAAGTGATACTATTTTGAATGTGTTCACAACTAATCACCTATAGTCTAATGAATAATCTGTGGCCTTAAATTGATGCTTGGAAATGTATTTATGATGTTTCATCCGTGATTTTCTTAAGGAATCTGAATATTGGTACAAAAATGCTTATCACACCAGTATTGGAATGACTCCATTTAAGGTGGTCTATGGTTGTGACCCTTCATTCATTACTAAGTATGTTCCTCAAAGGCTAGATCATCCTTCAGTGTAAGAGTTGCTAATTCAAAGATATGTAGTTTTGAAGAAATTGAAGCAAAATCTACATAAGGCTTAATAATACATGAAGAAATATGTTGATAAGAAAAGCATTTATGTGGAGTACAAGGTGGGTGATCAAGTATTTATTAAATTACAATCATATTTGTAACACCCTTAATTTTGTTACCCTTGTATGAAAAAATAGGAGTTTTGGTGTAGGGTATCTCACTGTAGCGAGAAAAAGTGTCTAAAATCAGGCTCTCTAACGCTCTCTCGCTATAGCCAGAATTCTCTTGTTGTAGCGAGGATTTCTCGCTGTAGCTAGAATGACAGATAGCAAAAAAAAAATTTGTCTGATTTTTTTACTGTAGCGAGAGAAGGGCTCGTTGTAGTGAGAAGCTCTTGCTATAGCGAGAGATAAATCGTTGTAACGAAAATATCGCGAGTTGAGGGATATTTAGAGATATTCAACTTTGAAAATTTGGATTACAATCCAAAGTTTCGACCTCTCCTCTGTTCTCTCTGATCTCTCACCCTTTCTTCTCAGAAATCCTCATCTAAACTTCAATCTCCCTTCGAATCCGAGTATGGAAGTTCAACCATTTAGATCCAAGTAAGTTTCTTGGAGATTGGTTCCCTAACTTTATTCTTATTTCTCAGTTTTATCCGATCTAAAGTTGTATGCTTTGTAATACTTAATGGAACCTTAACCTTCAAGCCGATATCCTCTCTCAAAACGTTGTGCCTCTCCCTTAGATCTCTAGGAAAACTCAATCTGAGAGACTCATTTCTAGGTAAGGGGAGTTGATCCAAACCCTAACTCCTTTTTGATGTTTTGATTTAAAAACACTAAGTTTTTCTATTAGAACCCTAGATATTGTATGAAAGTGTAATGAATGTGAAAGTGTGATGAATACAAAGCAATATAAATATTGTATGATTATAATATAAGTATTGTAACATGTCGATTGATGTTGTTATGATATGTGTTGTAATATATTGACGGGTGCGATTAGGATACATGTATTGTGATATATTGATTGATATGATAGAATACATATATTATGACATGCAAATTAGTGTAGAAAAGTGGATTATAAATATTTCAAAGGTGATTGAATTATTGTATATGCTCTATTGAAATAATGACTTGTCTGATTTAAGTGTTATTGTTAACCAATGTATGTTAGAAATGCATTAGCCAATATTTTTCATATTAGATAAATTTTATGTCAAATAAGAGATTTAGTGAGTACTAGTATTTTTTAGGTAATGAAAGTGAAAAGGTAAAGGTGGTTGGTCTGTTCTAGGTTCACAATTCAGTGACCTTGTGAAAGAACACTGCTCTCTAAAGTTTAGAATAATTTGAAGAATTGTAATGTCTTATTAGATTTATATTTTAAGTTGACAAAGTTCTGTAAATACTTTAAATATTTATTTTAGAATTTTAAAATACTTGATAAATTTTGTTATAATTAATAATTTTTGAAGTGTCATTGATTATGTTTCAGAATTATATACATGCATTCTAAATCAAATAATTTTCTAGATGTAAATTTAAGTTTTATTTATCACTTTAAAATTTCAAAATTATTTTTTTGAAAATTTTAAATACTTTTGAATTTTGTAAGATTTTCATAAAATGAATATAAGTTTTATTTTTATTCAATTCTTAAATCTATAAAATAGAACAAATTTTTTCTATTTTTTCTTTTTACTAAAAAAATTTATTTATTTTTAAATAAGAAAATGAGGATGTTACAATATTGGCAACATTCTGTTACCTTAAGAAAGAACCAAAAGTTAAGCTACTTTGGTCCTTTTCCTATTGTTAAGTGCATTGGGCATGTAGCCTATAAATTGTTGTTGCCTTCTTTTACAAGAATTCATCATATTTTTCATTGTTCTCACTTGAAATTGTCCTATGGGGAACATCACTGCCCTTATATGCCAATTCCTATTACTACTAATAAACTCGATTTTATAGTGTAACCAACTTGTATTTTACAGACACGTGTAATACTTAACAAATTGCGATAGGTGACCCAACATCTAATTCAATGGCAAGGATTTGATGTTTCATAAGCCACTTTGGAAGATTATAGCGCTTTGAGAGAAACATTTCCAACATTCAACCTTGAGGACAAGGTTGCTGCAAAAGGAGAAGGTATTGTCACACACACATATAAGGGCAGGATCTTCTTACACCGGTGTAAGTCTAAAAACTTTTACACTCAATCTAAGCCTTTCATTTAACTTACATTTAATATATATATATAAGAAGAAAGGGCAAATATGAAAAATAATAAGGTGGCAGCGAATCCATTAATTGTGGGCATGTGAAGGAGTGAGAGAATCAAAATAATGAATTCACGCTAGAGGAACTATGTGTGAGATGTGTAATGATATATAGCGAGTTAGTTAAAGTAGGGAAGAGCATGGAAAAAATTGATTGTTTTCTCTTCTCTTATTGTTTTTTTCTTCATTCTTTTCTTTGTATCTTCTATTGTTTTCTTTTGTAGGCAACCCTTCATAGTAAGAAACTCATGATTCAATAATACTTATAGAAAAAAAATTTATACTCATTCTTCTTGTTTAGCTCACACATTACAACTACACCTTAAAAAACATTAAATACACTATATAATAAGCCCTGTTACTATAAAATGTATGTATTAAATATTGTTTTATAATTTTGAGATAATAAAATTCACATTTTAAATATTTTTTAATTATTAAAAATGAGACACAATATTATTTTTTTAATATTCTTTCTCACATAAGGCCTTTTCATACTTTAATATTCAAATATTCTTCATAAAATAATTTTCTTAACTCTCTTTTTCAATAAAATAGAAAAATAAAATTCAAATTATTTAAAGATAAACAATTAAAAACAAAAGTAAAAAACTCAACAAATTATCTAAGATGTTGCAATTTTCTTAACAATTACTTTATTTATAGACTTTTTAAAAGACAATAACTTATACAAATATAATCCAACATATTAAATTGCATTAAATAAAAATATTTATTGTGTTTTGTTGAACGAATGCTCATTTTAAAAAATTATTGACTTGTTAACTTTATAATTATTATTTTTTATTTTACATACAATAACTTGTCAACTTTTTTAATTTATTTGACCTTCAAATAATTTTATTAAACTATTTAGACAATTTATTAAACTGTTCTTTAGACAATCACTATCCTTTAACGTGTACGATAATTTCTAAGACTCTAATCATTAGTTGATATAAAAGTCTTAAGTAAATATGATTATTAAGAAAGACATAATCAATTAAAGAGAAATGAGGTATTTTATAGTCAAATGTTCTATTAACATGAAAATTTTAGAGACTTATTACTTTTACACAATTTCAGTTCTAAAATTGTATTATTATTATTATTATTATTATTAAAAGAAGATTTATATCTAGGATTATGTTTTGACAAATATTAATTTTAAAATATTTGTTCTCTTCTAGTTTTTTTTTAATTTTAAATAAATTATTATTTTAATATTTTTTATTATTGATTATTTACTTTTTATCGTTATAGGATATTATTTTTAAATTTTTGGAATCTTTATAATAGCTTTTAATAGTAATCTTATATTATTATAGTATTTTTTTTAACTTTTCATACATATTAAAATTGATATTGATGGAGAGTGATTGACGTCCACTTTTATTGCATCAATACAAACACTAACAAATTAAGAAACGAAAAATCAATAAATTATCAGAATTTGTTTTACTTTACTGTTGACAGATTTATCTTGAACATAAATTCAAGTTTTTAACCCTTGGCAAAACTTAACGGTACCCAAACACAAGAAGCATTTTGAGTAACAGATGGCGGAGTCTATGGTTGCGTTAAACCCTCCCAGAACCCTCCGCACTGAGATTCTACCCTTCAATCGCAATTACCGAGCGCTGTCTCAGTTCCCAATCACAGTCACTTTCAAACCGCGAAAGCTTCCAACCCCAACGATCCGTGCTTCAGTTATGCCTAGTGAAGGTAACCACCAACAACCGTCTTTGGGCGACGCTCTCCACAACAGTCCTCGCAAAACCGAAGTTCTCGACGCCATCAGAAGAAGCTCTCTCTCTAATTGCCTTTCCGAAACCAACCTCCATTTCACAGTTCCTGGTCTCAACTCCAAAATCCGTGGCAAAGTGTGAATTATTTATTTGTTTATTTAATTATTTATTGGAGGTGTTTGGGATTCAGAAATAGATTATTCTGTGTTGCAGGTTCGGGATATTTATGACGCTGGAGACTACCTTGTTTTGGTTACCACTGATCGCCAAAGTGCTTTTGATAGGATTCTTGCTTCCATTCCTTTCAAAGGCCAGGTTTGTGATTATTGTGTCCAAATCCTTAGCTTAATTGACTCTGTGATGGACAAATTGTAGATGAAGAAAAGAATGTGTGGAAATGGAAAGTTGTTTTTTACCTGGTGGAGTGATGGTTACTGAATTCGTGGCATTTGTTTAACTATTGCAGGTTCTTAACGAGGCGAGTTTGTGGTGGTTTGAGAGAACTGAGCACATAGTCTCTAACGCAGTTTTGTCTGCTCCAGATAAAAATGTTACAATAGCGAGGAAATGTTTGGTTTTCCCGGTTGAGTTTGTTGGTGAGTTTTTTGCTTCGAGGAATTTCTACTTGCTTGTTCAATGACTTGATTGATGCTGATTCGTTTTCTATGGTTATAGTTTGTTTTCACCTTTTGTTTCTCGCACTCTATAGCTTGTAAGAGATTGTGTTATCATATAATTACGTCTTTTTTTTGGTTTTGTTTTGTAATATCATGATTCGTGTAAACTAAAGTAAGAACAGAATTTGACGAGGCAGTTTTACTTAAATACAGAATCCTCACATAGTTGAATTTCTTATTGGCAATACGCATGCTATTTTCTGGGTAGTGGTGAAAATGAGAAAGATGGTTGTGCTTTACAGATTAATTATTACTGTTTCATCTTATTAAATGATTTTATCGCTACAATAATTGTTGATTGATTGGCATATTTAACTCGAGCCACTTAAAGCTATTCTTTTGCTGCAAGGGAGATATTTTTAATGTAGGTTGTAGAATAGGAGTCCTTTTGCTCAAAAAGGTAACTATTGAAAAGAATAGAATAATGTATGTGGTTGACATATCCTTGCAGACATTTTGTTTTATTATTTTGGATGAGCATCCGAAAATATTACTTGAATTGGGATGAAACAATTGCTATCACTGCTCATCATTATCTAAATTTATTTTTGGTTTTGGCTGAAGATCTGCATGGGGTCTTGTGAGTTGTGCCCTTTATTCTTTGTCAAATTTAAATTTATTTTTATTTTAAAGTGTTATTTGAATCTTTGAAAAATGGAAGATGAGGATTCCAGCAACCATCCATTGACACTTATGTTGCTGGTTTGTAGCTAGAGGGTTTGTCACTGGAAGCACTGATACATCTCTGTGGACAGTGTACAATAAAGGCGTTCGCAACTATTGTGGAAATGTACTTCCAGATGGTGGGATTTCTCATTTGTGTCTCATTCTTTAAATTTTTTATTCCGTTATTAATAGTATATTGTCACATGACAGGAATGGTAAAAAATCAAAAGCTGCATGAAAATATACTCACTCCAACAACCAAGGCTGCAGATCATGATGTTCCTGTCACACCGGATGAGGTATGAATGTATGATGCCTAGTTTTATCATTTGCACCTAGTTTTGTCAATATGGTTGTAGTTACAGTAAAGAATATGTTGCATAAGCAAGAGAAATGAACAAAAGTACAAAGTCATCGAAACCATTTTTCTTTCAGATTGCTTTATATCGCTGCTTTATGTCATTATATCAGTAAAAATAGCATATACGATCAGTGAAGCTTGGTCTGCTCAAAAGAAATATCAAGCAATATTATGGTTATAGATTTACTTGTTAAGGGCAGACTAACCTAGTAAGTTGGTAAAAAGGAAGCATGACTAAAAGCCTAAGATGTTCCTGTAATTTTTATTAATAGAGTATTCATGTGCTATACTTTTGTTTTTGGAGTTAGTAAGGTGTGATGATGGGCTGACTTCCACCAAATGGATAATCTTTTCTTCCTATATCTATGTCTATGATACATAAATGGCAGAAAAAAAACTCTTGTTATTTTAGTTAGGTTTAAGTCTGACGAGAATAATATTCTACAACCAGCAATTCATTTATTTTCACACCAACCCATTTATTATCTATTATTTGATTGATTAATCCTTTATATTGGAATGGGTGAAGAGTTAAATGATTTGGTAATTTCTCACGGGGGGTTGAATCAAGATAATTTTGAATCAGAGTTCTAGATTTTTGTTCATCCTTCGCTGTAATAATATCTTGAGGTTTGCAATGATAACTTGGTATATCTACTATACGACCATTAACTAAAACATGTCTATGGTTAATTAATTGGCGGGCTTGAGGAATAGTCTCAGCCATACCCAACCGAAAAAGTATGTTATCCAAGCTCATTTCAAGTAATTGTAATAAAACCTGACCGGTTGATCCTTTTGCTTTTCCGGCGATACGATCGTATTTAAGCAATTGTCATAACATTTTTTATCCCAAATTGATGCTTCTTTTATGATGCATTTCCCTTGCAGATTATAGAAATGGGACTGATGACTCAAGCCGATTATGTAGAAGTGAGCGAAAAAGCATTAAGATTGTTTGAATATGGACAGGTAATAAACTTCTTTTGCTGGTCTTTTTCAAAGTTGGGAAATAAATTAATTATCATTGTGGCCGGTAATATCAAACTTGTAGCATGTGTTTTTTTCTCTTGCACTGAAAACAAATAATTTTTAAATAATGTGATAGTACAATTATAAGACACCGTTATCTTTTATTTGGGTTTACATAGATAGTGTGCATGCAACTCATTTATATGCAACTCATTTATATACTGTAAAAGAAAAGGATAAAAGTATTATGGTTTAATATGTCAATTCTGCTCTATAGTTTTTGGGGTATGCTCTAAGGAATCAATATATGTTAGCTACTGCTGTGGACAATAAAAAGGTGGTTGTGCTCAGGAAGATACTTCCATGATACTCAATCATGGACCACATAAAGATTGTTGTGCTCAGGAAAAGACTTCCATGATGTTCAATGATGTACAGATTCACATATTTTCTTAAGTTATGTTCCACCTTCGTTTATGATATTAAGTAGTTCAAATACCATGGTAGCTTTTCTTTTCCACTGGGAATTATTTCTACACCTTTTCAGATATTGGATACAGAGCTTAGCATAATGTTATATTTGACATGAAGGGACAATAATTTCTAAAAGCTTCTATTTTATTTTTAAAAGTAAAAAAGAGTGAAGGAGGATTCCATCATTCTTATCAGTGAAAATTAAAAAATTGCTGCTCAAGAGAAAAATTTGCCACTTCAAGAACTGCAGCCAATCAAACAATTTCCATGTACTACTACTATCTCACCTTCTACATACAATGTCTCTTTATTACAATAAGGGGTGGAGATTTGTGTGGTGACTAGTGACCAAATCTTGATTATGTAATCTGTTCATCCAAGGTACTTAGTGTTCTCCAATCATTTATTTGATAGCCTTCCTAGGAATATAGGTGGTTGATGATACCTTAATTAGTTACTTGCACAGTATAATTTTTACAGCTATTAAGTTATTTTTCCTCTGCTTCATTTGACTTCTCCATTTGCTTGATTTTGCAGCAAGTGGCTTTGGAGCATGGCCTCATATTAGTGGACACTAAGTATGAGTTTGGGAAGGCAAATGATGGTTCAATTATGTTGATTGATGAGGTTCAAAGTTATCCTTGATAGCTGATGCATATTGGATTCTCACATGCACTCACAGATTTAGTATATAAATGTGATGAACTTCTTCTTTCTGAACTCCAGGTCCATACCCCCGATTCAAGTAGATATTGGATTGCCAATTCTTACCTGGAGCGCTTTCAAAATGGTCTTGAGCCTGAAAATATTGACAAGGTGTTTTATGTGTATCAATGTTTGTTTGTTTACTTCATAGAATGAGGAGTGACTTGAGTTTTTCTAGCTAGCGCACAGATTTAGTGGATGCATCGGCTTCCATATATTATTTACATTTTTTAATGAAATATTGATATATTTAGGAGTTTTTGAGGCTGTGGTTTAAAAGACACTGCAATCCCTATGAAGATGAGGTATTTTACATTTTATACAGCTAATGAATTAACTTATAAGTTATAAAGATGCAGCAAATGACACTGATGGATTTTATTTAGGTCCTTCCTGATGCTCCTGAAGATCTTGTTTGTGAATTAGCTTGGCGGTATGTCTACTGGCACTAGTTCCTTCTACACTTGATATATTTTGCTTTGAAACTTATTTAGAGAAATGAACCTGAAGAGTATACAGTTACGACTTATTAGTAATTTTTGTTATGCTCTGATTTTTCTTTGTGAACCTTGCAAAGATTTGCAACTGTGATGCGTCTAGTTTGTGTGCACAAATTGGGAATAGAAGAATTGTGCCATGTGTTGTCTTCTTTCATTTTTTTCCTTAAATAAAAGAAGAAATTCATTTTGGAGGATAAGGGATCCTCAATAATGAAAAAACAAAAAAATTACAAAGGAAAGGAGAAAACCTTGATTTCCTGTGTGATAGTCCAAATATATGTATACTTAGCACTGTTACGCTGCCTAAGATCTTCTATGCAAAAATGTATTTATGATGACTAACAGTTGATGCCCAATATAGTACTCACTTTAAACTGCTGGTTGTTTGTTATTTATTCAGTTACATGAAAAGTTTTTCTTCAACTTTTTTAGCTTATTTCATTGTGAATTATTAAGAAAAGATTGGAATTTGTATTTGGGTAAATGCTTAGCATAAGTAGGAGACTCTCTTCTCTTCTCTCTCTCTCTCTCTCTCCATCTGACACAACATATTGGCACATTAGGTGACAAGAGGAAACATTATTCCCATTGTATCCAAAGAATACTTATGACCTGTTCTTGCTAGTATACACTAAAATGCACTATATATGCTATCAATGGTTCAAACTTCAAAATTGTTACTAACTTACTATAATAGCATGTTTTTCATAAATACAGTGATTATCACAATATTGGTATCCTACTTTCCTGACACGTCTCTCCTATTCATACTTGTTTACATGGATAAACTCTTCTGTAAATCAAGTCAACTTTTATAATTGATTTTGAGTGGACAAATTTGTTTTATTCATTTAAATGAGCATTATACCTTTTTTTTTTCTGTACAGATACATATTCTTGTATGAGACTATAACAAAATCTAAGTTTGAGGTGCTACCGACTGAGGTAATCCATAAATATTTTCTTAAAAATTATAATAACTTATGCAATCGACACTAATACAACTTTTCTTCTTGCAGGAGCCTATACATGACCGCATTTCACGAAATGTTGCATCTGCACTGTCATCTTTAAAATAGCCCGGGAATTTTAGGGCTGTATTATAACTGTATTTTAAGTAATCTCTTACTGAAAAATGTATTAAAAAGTTTAAAGTAACGGGGCTTCTCCACACAAGTTTTTATTTTTCTAAAATATAACATAAAACAGAAAGAAGGAAACAGGCTGTATTGCTCTTTGAAGTTAAGCTTGTTTCTAAATTGTCGTGAAGACAGTTTTCAGAAATTTGTCTCCTTTTCATTTCCTTTTTTGAACCCAAAGAATAAAGAACTGTTTCTGGAAGCAGAACCAAATGTGTCCCTTGCCTTGTATGTTTCCTTGGAATAGTACGAGAAGTAAATATTATCTATTGTGAGAGGAGTTATTTGTTCCTTTTACAACATGCTGCTATCTTTCTTTTTCTGTACTTGTCCAACCGTGTTTATCAGCCATTCTGCAAGAGAGGGAGGGCATATAGTGCACACACTTTCTCTTATTTGTTACAATGCTTGCTAGTAATTTCAGTCCGTTACTGTTTGTAATAACTATTATATTATGATAAATAAATTTTAAACTTCGATGATAACTTCAAAAATTACCTGAAGAGAAATGTCAAAATGATGGTGCACTGAAAAGAATAGAACATTCTCACATTTACATTACCCTAAAATCATTATGTGCTGCAATAGCATGATGTTGATCCCCGATACAGAAGCATTCATCCAAATGTTGTTTAATTGCTGTATAACAAGGAGTACCTTCAAGTACTTACATTGCATGTGATCCTATGCAGGTTCATCATGTCATTATAAGAGTGGCCTAAGCTTTACTAGTGCCTCTTGGTTTTAGAAGGGGCGTGGAATGGCATTACTAGTGTCATTATCTTGCATAGCCAATTAAAAGGAGACAGGCTGGCACCTTCTCGGGTTTAAAGTTTTTCTTATTTGATTCCTTTTTTTTTTTTTTAAGATTTTCGTTGTGAACATAATGATACATTTTGTTTAAAAGTTGAAAAAAGAAGGTCCTGGAATCATTTTGAGCAATATCACAGGAATAATAATTGTAGTGTCCGATTGACCATAACACAGCTAGGAATAAAAAAAAAGAAAAGAACTGTTTGCAGCATGTTTGTTTCAGTTGAGTTCACCTCAAACAGATGTTGAGCCAAAAGTAAGAAATTTTGCTCTTTATGTTTAGAGACTCGTAGCTTGTTCACCAAACTTCAAACGGTTATACAAACTTACTTGGCGATAGCTGTCATAAAAAATAATGAGCTGGCCAATGGCCATTGTCAATTGTTGATAGGTGGGTGGTCACATTTCAACGATCAGGGGTGAATGGCTATAAATGTTGATCCCTCTCCAAGTATTTGCAGGGGTGGAGGTTAGTCGGATTCTTGTAACTGGTTACAGCAAACGATGGTTGGAAGTGATCAATGGCAGTCGGTAGCATTTACATGGTGTTGGTGGGTTGATGACGTGGTAGAATGGTATTTATTTTGGAAATTTTTCATTGCAAAAATGTTCTCATGCCATGAGAATGGGCCTCCTCTACCCGCAGAACTGAAAGCGTGGGAATGTCGCAATCATTCTTGACTTTTGGGTAATTTTTTATTTTTGAAATCTTATATTTAACATGAAAATTCAGCATTCTCGTGTAAAGAATTCCTAGAGTGAAATAATAACCTATGCAGATGTCCTTCTAGTTTGTATTTAGAGTAAAAAGATGAATAACTGTAAAGAGATAAAGAAAGAAAAGAGTTGGATAATTGATATTTTAAGAACTAAGAAAGCTTTATAGTACTGCTTCGGTTCTATTTATGAAAAATAAATGATTAATTTATTAAAGTTGATAAAAAGCAGTTATATATCATGAATTTATATTCTATTATGCAAATACTTGTAATATTAAATAATTAAATTGATGAGGTATAGTTAAAAAAATAAATATACTTATTTTCATCAATAAAGATTGAGGGTCTCGTTAATTCAACTCTTAAATAAATAAAATTATTTTGAATAATAAAAAGTGAGGATTAGAAAGCAATCATATTGGTTGTGAATTTTGAATAATTTAATACTTTTTAAAGTTAAATTATATTTTTTCTTCTCATTTAACATTTTTTTAATTTTAGTTCCTTTAACCATATATTTTGCATTTTGATTCTTACCTAAAAAATTATTTGCAACTTGTTCTCCATCAATTATTAAAGTTACAGTGACATTGAAGTTTTTTTCATATAGGAACTAGGGAAAAACTGATATATAATTGCAAAGAACAAAATATAGATTTTTTTAATAAATAGATTAAAATGAAATATACTTTTTTTTATGTAAAAACTAAAATAAAAATATTGTTAAATATAGAGACTAAATATGATATCATTATAATTTTGGTGAATAATAAAGTCAATTCATAAATGTTTTTCATGTAGGATGCAAAACGTAGAGTTTTTCTCATATAAAAACTAAAATAGAAAAAGAAATCAGATGCAGTAACCAGAATTTTAATGTAGCCTTATCTTAATCTAAACAAGATCTAAATCATTTGTGATTTTTAAATAGTTTCACTTAAACATTCGAAATGATTTTTAGCCTTCAGATCAACAATTTTAATGTATTGTTTTATAATTACATTTTTATTGTCAATTTGTTTGGCTCTTGTTTTAGATTAGCAGATGGTTTCATAAATATTAATATAGGAACTACATAATTAAAATAAGGGATTGCCAATTTTCTGGTGAAAAAGGAAAGAACAACAAAAGGAAACTAGTGTATGATGGTCATTGAGAGTCGATATATATGTGGATATCTAATAGCTTGTAATACTATCTTTATTATTTTTGTCATTGTGCCGTTGATCTAACACTTTTCAATTAACGTAACTATAAGCCTTACATACTGTAGTCCGTAGTTCATTTTACATTAAAAATACTTCTATAAATCTAGTCCATTTAAAGTTAAATACATTAAATTAATCGCATAATTGATTATGTGTGGTAAAATAATTTATAAGCTATTGACTAAAAGAAAAAAAAGAAAAGGTTAGCAACGTTTTATTTTTCGAGAAAGTAGAAAAATTACGGAAGTACGCAGCCACCAAAACGACCCCGTGAGAGCACGTCGTTCAGGCCGAACCTAAACCCAATACGCTAAAACCCCGAGACCCAAAGATCTGAGAGCATTAGAGCAACACCACCGGAATATGAGCTAAACGGCGATAAAGAGTTCATCGGCGTTCCGATAGTCTTTTAAGCAGAGCCACCGCTTCAAAGTCTTCATCCTCTCAATTCCGCAACTATATCATTGTATACGCAAGCATTTGACGCGAATGAGAAGGTTCACGTGGTTTATGCCGGTGAGTGGTGGAACGAAAATACTCGAAACCATTCAAAATCTTTGTTCCATTTTCTCAGTTATCGTTGTTCACACTATAGATTCTTCCAATGCAGTATCGGCGTCATTTGCTTTCGTCTGTGGCCTCAGAACCGCTCGTTGATAAAGGAGAATTTTTCAGCAAATTCTTGTCGTCTCGACATTCGTTGTTGCTCGCTCGAGGCACGTTGTGAATTTCTCGTTTCTGCATAATAACTAGCATTTTCATTTTTCTGATATATATTTTTCTTTTGGTGTTAAATTGGATGTTCTGTGTACCAGCTTTGGTCAGTTACAGTTTCGTCACGAAAACGGAGGACTCTATGATTCCGAGAATATCATTAAGATATCGTTATTTTCATTCCACAGGTTTTGTTGAGTTGAACCTGAATCGCCTTGTTTCTAGTTATTAGTGATGTTAAGATTTGTTAAGATTTCCACATGGTTTCCATTTTCTGCTTGTGTTGTTCCAGCATCTTCTTCTTCAGCCGATCGAGACTACTATCAAATTCTAGGTGTTCATGAAAAGGCCAGTCAGGACGAGATAAAGAAGGCATTTCACTCGGTTAGTGATTGTTAGGAATCTCGTTTCATATGGCGTACAGCGCAAGTATTGATTGATCAAAGCTATGCTTGTTAGAGTAGTGTAATGCTGAAGTCAATTGGAAAATTTCGATGTTTTGTTTGGGATATGGGGATGAATATGATCAGTTTTTCATCTTGAACGCTTTTAGTAGAAGAGATGAAGTTTCGTTCCAGTTTCTCGGTACTTGGTAGGAGTGACAGATGACAGATTATATGATCTATTCTTAGTCATGTTTGTGTCAGCAATTTAGTGTTACTAACCAAGTTTAACGAAAGGCTAAGGAAATCTTGTAGTTTTTTGTTTCAGTACGATATTTTTATGCTTGTTTTTACTTCATTTTCATCTCATTTACTAGTGGAAAACCTTTCTGTGAATGAAAAGTCAGATGGAAGCAATTCTCCTTTTCATTTATCATCTTTACTACTAAGAGCATATAATATTCTTACTTCTCCAGTTTGTGCCTTTACCAATCTAACCCTTGTTCTTGTTGATTTACATTTTTTTATGCATATTCTGCATTTATCTAGCTGATGGTCAATTAATTGATTATCACCCTGAATTTTGGAGTACAAATCCTCATGCATGCAGAGAGATACAACTAGGAATAGTTTTTAAATGGCACAGAGAGCAAGGAAAGTGAAGCAGAGATAGTTTCATCTAGATGATAGAATGAGATGTTGTCACATCTTATAGTTGTGAATTACTAAAATCTATCAAAGCTAATTTTAGGATAAGATTAAAAGTTTGGCTTCTATCCACCCGTAAATTATAAATTAGAGTCCTCATTCTCCAAGATGGGATAACCTGCATTTTTACTCTCCTTTTGATGTAGCCATTTGTCTTCCTCATTTTTTGACATGTATCTAGTGAGTTTGTATATGAAATTAAATCAATGTCATATCTTTTTAATTAGTTATATCAATGAATTATCTTTTTGGGTTTTTTTTAACTCTTTCCATCAATACTTAAAATTACTTCAATTAAGTATAATGTAATATCTATTAGTTATCATCTAAATAATGTTTTACTAATTAAACTATTGTTTGGAAATTTCAAAATAAGAAATTTTAAATGCCTTTATTTTTCTATTTTAATTTAATTCTTTAAACAGAAAATTATTTTTTCACATTCATTTATGTGTATTTCAAATACCCATTCAAATGTACGGAATGCTGGCTAGTTTGGTTTGAAGCATGGTCCTTTTGGTGTTTATCTAAAATGTGCTGATAAATTGGGCAGCTTTGTTCTATTAATGTCTTAATGTTACTTTTTTCCCCATCCCCACCCCGTTTTTTAATTTAAGTTTATATTATTGAGGAAGATCCCTTTTCCACTTAAGATAAAGTAATTATATTCTCTTCATCTTGATAAATTCTTCTTTTATCCAGAAAATAATTAGACAAAGTCACAAAATCTAAATTAAGGCTCAACAATTTCCTACAATATTGACAAGGAGGTAGAATTTCTAGAAATTTTTTGTTATGCATTTTAATCTAAGACAAGTGTTTTCAGTGAATAAAGTGTGCTTAAAATAGTTTGAGTGAGCACTTTGGTTTTCAATCTTGATATATTCCGTAATCATACTACTTTGACTGTTTGACAACAATATTCTAAAATCAAAGGTCTTCTTTGGGCTAATACTGCATTATGCCACACTTTTCTGTATTGTGCAGCTTGCTAAAAAGTACCATCCAGATGCAAATAAGAATAATCCATCTGCTAAGAGGAAATTTCAAGATATAAGAGAAGCTTATGAGGTCTTTATTATCATTTATGAAAATTTAATTTTTTAACCTTGCATTTTCAGACAAGTCTAGCCTTCCCTTCTTCTTGCTAGGTTAGTAATTTAACAGTGATATTTTCACTTGCCCTGTTGCTGTGTAATTTCAGACATTGAGAGACTCTAAAAAGAGAGCAGAGTATGACAAGGTAGTTTATTTTTGTCTTCCTATATGCTATTAAAATTTCAAATTTTGTATAGTAGTTAGTATATGTTAAAAGTTTCTGTAATTCATAGCCCTCACTCTTATGTAGGATGTTGAATTGACTAACATTTTTCCCTTATTGTACCCCTTTTTCAACTGAAGATACGTACTCATGGTTCAGAAGACATAGAATATGATCAAGATGATGCAGAAAGGTTTAGAAATGCTTATCGTTCTCACTTTTCTGATTCATTTCATAAAGTATTCTCTGAGGTATTTTTTACTTTCATGCAAACTCTTGTCTTTTATTAATTGATTAATTGAATATGTATATATATTTCTTGACCATACGACTATACATGAATGAGCAAAATTCTTTTTACTTGATGTAATTTTCACCATCCATGTAAGATTGAATCATCAAGATTTGCTCCTCTTACTTAATATGCTCTCTCTCCCTCTACACTCACACATGCACATATTCTATACTTTTTTGATACATTTCATATAAGTACTCAGAGGAAATCTCACGATTTTCTTGATCTAACAGATATTTGAAGAAGCAACAACTCAATTCTCATCAAATATAGAGGTTAGCTCAACCCTTGTTTCTTTGTTGTTTGAAATATGTTTCTCTTTTCCTAACTTAACCATTTGCTAATTGCTATGCTGATAGGCAGAGTTGTCTCTTACTTTCTCAGAAGCTGCGAGAGGATGCACTAAACACATGTCATTTGATGCTTTAGTTCCCTGTGATTATTGCAGTGAGTAAATTTAATATATTCTGGGAATTAGGAAATCCCTGGGGAGAAGTTTTTCTGTACTAGAATTGTATATTAGTTATTTCCATGTAATTATTGCTTTAGGAAATAGTAAAATATTGTCTTCGTATGAATAAATTTTGATTGCAAAGGAAGTTTAGTACAGAATCTTGTGCATGTTCTGTTGGAATAAGAATTTTATTTAGGTGAGAACCCCTCTCTTTTTCATTTGGTGGTGGCAGCATTTGTGATGGGTGGGTAGGGGGTTTGGGGTTGACTGAATCTATCTTTTATTGTATTGAAGTTTTACAGTTCCCCATCTGCATAGGAAAATAGCTAAAGGCAGGCTGATTAGGAAGCAACATTGAGGCAATCATGTCAGATAGGAATTATAGATGGAGAAATCTTATGATGAAACCTAATTTTTGATTGATAGAATCTAGGCCTATGCAGTCGCTGCATTATCTTTAGGTTAGCTTCTCTCCCCCTTTCCCTTTAGTGTATGATATAAAAATCATTACATATGAACAGAGTCCTTTTGGATAAGGTTTACTAATATTTATTGCTAGCAAATCTGCGGCTATAACAAGAGTTTTTATGAGCTGCAGAACTATTTTGAGGAAATAATCAGTAGTACATATTGAAGGATGTGTAAAACATCCCACATGACATTTGTTAGTGGCAAAGTGAGCCAATTTATTTGTTCATCCACTTAAAATAATGATAATCCCATTTGATGCCAATCGTTTTCCTTACATTAATCCAGATGGGCAGGGCCATCCACTTGATGCCATCCCAAAAGTTTGTCCAACATGCAGGGGCTCAGGTCGAGTAAGTGCCTTCAAAGATCAATTTCAATTATTGCTATGGCATAAATATTTTTTAGCAAGATTAAAGTCATCATGAATCAATTTCTTTTTGCTGTATTAGAGTTATCAGTCATTACTTATTAATATATTTTTATTTATTCTTGGTTATGATTTTTTTCTAGGTTACAATCCCTCCATTTACATCCACATGCATTACTTGTAAAGGATCAGGCCGCATCATTAAGGTGATTCATAAATTTCCCATCAAGTAATCATTTGAGGTTGGTTATCTATTTGGTGCCACAATATTTCATAAATTTGTACTTTTTATGTTGTGCAGGATTTTTGTAAATTGTGTGGAGGATCTGGGGTGGTTGAAGGGGTTAAAGAGGTTAAAGTTACGATACCAGCAGGTTGGTTTTTAATACTTCTGATGTGATGAAGTTACCTGAAGCTGTATGTTGGCTATAGCTTGTCAATGTACCTAAGCATATTGGAGCAAGGCTTGGTGGTTGTTATAGTAGCTTCTTATTCACACTGAAAATTCTTTATTGACAAATTATGATTTTGTCCAATGTTTAATCCTTTGTGCTCAAATTTAAGTTGATATGGGACAGCCTGGGTCTTTTTAAGGTGTTAATTGTTATATAGTGGAATATTTTATAAATGGAAAGTTTTATCCATGCTGCTGACCTACCCTGCTTATGTCTGGATTACCTCCTTCTGCCACTTTTTTATTCAAAGAAGAATTGCACCCCCCCTCCCCCAATTATTCTTATCATAATTTTTCATGAATTACTAGGTGTGGATTCGGGAGATACAATCCATGTGCCAGAAGCTGGGAATGCAGCTGGAAGTGGAGGTCGACCTGGAAGTTTATACATTAAAATAAAGGTGAACTTTTCCATTTTTTTATGTCTCAAATATTTAGTGTAGAGAGATCACATGCTAACACGTGCTACCAGCTGGCCTATGAATCTGCAATTTTACCCAAACTTGACATTATTAAAGGGTAATAGGCACATTAGATCCATACAATGGCAGAAGGCCATTTTGGCAAGCTAGTCAATCCCTTCTTAAATTCCCTGAAAAGTTGTTATAGAAAGGGTTTTGCTGACCAGTGTCCTAAGGGCATTGATTAAAGAATCAATAAATAAAATTTTTTTCTTAGAAATCACATTAGGATGTTTTGGAAATCATGTGGTGAATGTATTTTTACATTTTTTAATAAAAAATTATTACTTTTAATTCTTTAACCAGTATCTTGAGGTGGATTAGCCTTTTCCTTATAAAAAAAATCAATTTTAGAAAAAATTTCAGGCTAGCAAGTTCAAAATGGTTCTGCCCTGTGTCCTAATATTGTGCTCCACTGCCAGAAACATCATGTATTGTGCTATGGTGCCTGGATATCCAGAGCCTTAAAGCTACACTGTTTGTGCTATGGAACTTCGGTGGCTGCATTCCAATACGTGAATGACAGCAAACTGGTTCAATAATGAACTGCAAACTGATTTGTGTGTGTCAATTTGTGGTTTAAAGGGGGATAAAGTGAATTTGGTAACTTTGGGTCGTAAAATGTTAGAGGTTAATCGTAAGTTACCATTTGACTGAGTATAAATACATGATGCAAGTGATGAATTAATTAAAAGAATTAATTTGTAAAGTTTAGCCACCATAACAGTTATGCCGTCAATGGAAACTCTTGATGTAAATAATCTTAATTCTTGCTGAAGAGTATACCTTTCTTTTTCTTTGGCCTGCCCAAGAAAAAAAAAATGTCTACCTGGATCTAATTAATTTGCTAGTAGTCTAGTTATGGTCAGGTAAGTGCAACATCATAGAAGGGCTTCATTTTCCTTGATCATGCATATAGAGCTAATTTTTAACATAGCATATCTCAAAATATTTTTGTTCCAATCAAGGAAATTATATTTTTCTGTTTAAAATTTAAAACCAGTAATTAGCTTTCTGCTCTAGTAATATAATGTATTTGTTGGTTATGGCAAAATATGTTCTATACTTCTATTCTTTTTGGCACTCATTTTTTGCCCTGTGATGTAGGTCGCTGAGGATTCAGTCTTTATCAGAGATGGTGCAGATATCTATGTGGAATCTAATATTAGCTTTACTCAGGTGAGAGCTAAATGTGTTCTGTACTTCCATTACTTTTGGATGTTCTACCATCTGATTAAAAGAGGGGGAAAACCTGAACACCTTCAGCAATCTGCATGCAAAGGGGAAGCACACTTTTCTGCTGATAGGTCTGGTGGGCAATTCAGCTTCTAGGCTGTGAGACACAAATTCATATGAAAATGATTCATAAGCGCTACACTTTTTTCTTTAAAATCTTTTTATCAATCATAGCTTCATGTTTCTGTCTAGTTTAATTTGGCTCAAAACGAACGTGTTCCTTGCCTGTTACTTGAGAACAATAAGGCCACAGTAATCATTTTACCTGAAAGAAACTCAGATAATGGAGCTGTGCATTTAAGTGGATTACATGCAGAGATCAAATAATATGTTGAAATAAGTTTCCCCTCTCCTTTCCTTCAGTGGTTCAAGTGTTCAACATGAGGGAACAGATTTAAACGTATAACAAGGAAGGGATATAACTTTAATTCTTAGGTTAGATTCCCTCTTATAGATTTTGGATGAAATTGTGTGTGTTGGTCAGACTACGCAGCTGTTAATATACATTATGTACAGTATTGATTACAATACACAAATGGTACAAAATCTAATTTCTAATTACATGCAAATCAGTTATGCTAATTGGCCAAGCATTTGTAACAACTATTTCACATTTTACCTGTGCTTTATTCTCATGTGGCAGCTATGTCAGATTTTACATGTGGTTATGTCTAACACTTCTCTTATACCACTGCTTGTATTTTTTTAGAGAAGATTGCTTAAATGGGTCCCATTTTAAGACCACTTGCACATACCATATTTTGCACCTTAATTACTCAGTGACGGTGCAGCTAGGTTTGTATCAGTTTTATTAATAGAACAAGCTTTTAAAATTTTACAGGCTATTCTTGGTGGCCAAGTGGAGGTGCCTACTCTATCTGGGAATATGCAAATAAAAGTAAGTCAAGATTTACTTTTTGAGTGTAGTCCCCCCCCCCTTCTTTCCCCTTCCCCTTTTTCGGTAAAGAAAAGTTTACAGTAGAACTTGCCCCATTTCAATTGAGGCGATGTCATGAGTGTCAGTGAGAGCTCACAAGTAACAATGATACTTATTGATGCTATTTGAACTTGTCAATTGAGTGACTTGAGTCAACTTCATCAGTACTCCTTTTGTTACACTGAAATTGAAATGACATAGAAGATTAGCTTACCCATGAGTGTCAGTGAGAGCTCACAAGTAACAATGATACTTATTGATGCTATTTGAACTTGTCAATTGAGTGACTTGAGTCAACTTCATCAGTACTCCTTTTGTTACACTGAAATTGAAATGACATAGAAGATTAGCTTACCCATGAGTGTCAGTGAGAGCTCACAAGTAACAATGATACTTATTGATGCTATTTGAACTTGTCAATTGAGTGACTTGAGTCAACTTCATCAGTACTCCTTTTGTTACACTGAAATTGAAATGACATAGAAGATTAGCTTACCCTCGCAATCACCTGATTCACCCCCTTCATTCTGAAACAAAGGTTTCAAAATTGAAACCCTATTCAGAAACATCTATGTATGTTCTCCAGGCTCTGTTTTGTCATTTATGTTCTGTTCTGTTTCAGTGTTCTCTCTCTCAGACTGTTCTGCCTGCCTTTCATTTTGTTGTAGTACACATGATGTGTCCCTCAATGGCAAATTGGGAATAATTGGACCTTTAGTGTTTGGACCTTGGAGAAATTCAAAATTCTGGAAGAATTGGGGAAGAATTATTCACGGTAATTGAGTCTTCGATTGATTGGGATTAATTTGAAAAGAAAAAAAAAAATGCAAAATTGAGTTATCAAAAAGGAAAAATTTGAGTTTCCTTATTAGGGTGAACGAAAATGGAAAGAAAATGATGTGGTGATGATAATTAAGGAAATGAAATGCAGAATTTGTAAAAATTAGAAAGTTTAGGTTTCCTTTCTAGTTGAAATTCGAATTTGGGGAAATAGAAGTTTTAAGGTTCAATCACGTGGTAATTGGGGAAATTGGGAATGGAATGAAAAAATCACTCTTTCACCAGGTTAGGCATGCACACAAAGGGGGTGAATATCCTTTGATAAACTTAGGTTCTTGAATCACTCAAGAAATCTAGTGAATCACTCTCTAAGTTTGCAAAGGCTGAATTTTCATTCAAATTGATCATCCTTACAACCTTGTGCCAACTACTTTACTGGCTGAAATTATTACAGCAATAATGTTCATTCAAAGTCGTATTAAGCTCCACTCATCAAGCTTCACTTAATGACTATTTTGTAACTGAAATAGGCAACTAAAAACACCACACTCTTTCTCAATAATTCAGCCAATCAACAGATGGTCAACCTAGACATTATTCAAGTCACACTTAATTAAAATAATAACCCTCAATGGCTATTTTTGACACTCCTAGTTCAGCAACAAACTTAAAGGAATTGGACCACTTAACATATTAGCCCATTATTACAAAAAAAAACCAAGTTCCAAAACAAAAACATGTGTACGCCAAAAATAAGCATAAGGCCTTCCTTGCATACTTTAAGCCATCACTCTTCTAATTCTTGAATGCAATTCACCATCTTGGGCCTCTCTTGATTCACGCTGGGCTCCTCTCCAAATAATGTGATCATGGCTTGTTGAAGGGTCTTCTTAATCTTTTTGGTTATTGCTCTTGTTATTGGGCTCCAAGTCCTTGAAATGTATTTGGCTCACTGGGCTCCTTGTCCTTTGACTCTTGTTCATGATCTCTCAAGGCTTGGTCTCCATCAACACATTCTTTCACATATGGATCTTTCATGATTTTATCTTTGTTCTCTGTTTATAGCCAGCGTATGAATGTCTTCAATTTTGGGTATTTTTTTGAGCATTTATATATCTCTAGAGTAAATTTATAGAAGTGTCAGAAGTAAACCAATCAGCTCACTGTTATGATTCTTTTATAAGGAATTTGTAAAACTTGCAGAGTCTGATCATGTAAAGCAAGGTAGTCAAAATTGAGATCCTATTTAGTATCACGTAACTCATTGGATCGTAGATTGGATCATAAGATCCTACCTAATGTATAAAACTATATTTAAACATACAAATGCACACAAAAAAGAAGATAAATAAGGAACCAATAGTCTTAAATTCATAAAAGATAATCACAACTGGAACATTAATGAGAATAAATATATTCTCAAGTCAAATTACACATAAAACTCAATAGTACTAAAGTAAAAACAAACTAGTCAAAGTGTCCAAGATTGATATTTTTTACTCTAACAAATCATTCAAGTTTTGATCATAATAATCATCTTCTATTTGGTCTTCATTTTCTTCATCTCCAACTCCATCAAGGTCATCATCAAAAGGAGGAATCTCTAAATCATCTAAATTTATAAGATCATCATCAACATCATTGGAATCATTTCTAACTTGACCCAAGTGTTCATTTGGATTCAAATCCAAGTCCAATAAGTCATAAACTTCTAAATCATCACCATTGGATGAACTTTCATTGGCCATAATTCATTCATCATTAGATGAAAGATTATCAAGATTAAACTCCATAGCTTTTTTGGATGTCTTTTTCTTGGCCAATTTTGAGTTAGCCATCACATAAACAACATCATTCATAGTTTGTTGTTTCAAATGATTTTGTCTCTTTGTGTGGATCTAAAAAATATATAAATGCAATTGATTATTTGCTAGTTCTTAATAGGTAAAGAAAAAGAATGTAATTTATCATAGTTTTAAAATCTTACCATCTCAAAAGCACTCCAATTACACTCACATCTAGAGGAGCTACATGTCAAGCTCAATATACGAATAGCAAATCTTTGAAGCTCTGGATGTCCATATCCATAAGATTCCCACCATTGTGCTGGAGTTTTGATATTAGTTTTAAGTGCATTTAGGGCTGCCTTGCCACCAAAAAATTTCTTTTTTGCCTTGAAATCTTCAAGTTGAGCATCAATTTTAGTCATTTCTTCATCATTTTCTAGCATCCTTTCTATACAATCATATAATCCACGTTTAACTTCAAAATCCGCTTTAAAACCAGGACTGTAGTATACAAAAGGGTTGAGGTAATAAGTTGTAACATGCAATGGCCTATGGAGTTGATTGTTCCATCTTTCATCAATGACATTTCATAGAGGGAGATAACTAATATATGAAAAAAAATAAATTAATTTTCAAACAAAAATAACTAAAATTTTAATTAAATTTAATAATTTATTTACCTTCTTTTACTCTCATTGAAGGCCTTTGCTATTTTCTCTTTAGCTCGGTCCATTTTCTCGTAAAGGAATCCCATAGTTGGAATCTCATCCGAATCAATGAAACGAAGAACTTTGATTATAGGATATGCACCTCTTGAGCAAACAACACTTTTCCAAAAAGTTTTATCCATAATCACATCTTCAACAAATTTTCCATCTGTTGATTTAGCAAACCGGCTAGTCTTTCATTGATCAGATATGAACATTCTAACCAATGCTCCTTTATACTCTTGAAGACATTCCAAAGTAAGATAAGACGTAGCAAAGCGAGTCATGGTTGGTCTCACCAAATCCCTTCCCTTTGTGAAGAATTGCAATAAAGAAATTAGGAAAGTCCTTGAATAAATATAAGTAGTAATTTTTTTTCCTTTGGGATTGTCTCTTGATGAATGGGTAACTTCTTCTCCAAATCCTCCAATATCAAATCTATGCAGTGAGCAGCACATGGTGTCCAATACAGTTTCTTCCTTTTCTCCATCAACAATTCACTTGCAGCCTTATAATTTGCTGCATTGTCAGTTACAATTTGAACCACGTTTTCTTCACCAACCTCCTCTACAATGTCATCCATTATTTTAAACAATTTGTCAGCTGTTTTAGATATATGAGATGCATCAATTGAAGTAAAAAAAACTGTACCCATAGGGCTGTTAACTAAAAAATTCAATATAGTTCTCCTTTTCTTGTCAGTCCAGCCATCCGTCATTATTGTGCATCCTGTTTTTTTCCATTCTTCTCTATGTGCTTCAATAGCTTGCGTGGTCAAATTCACATGATGTTTCAAATACTTAACTCTGATTTCATGATAGGAAGGTGGCTTGAATCTAAGCCCATATTTTGTCACCGATTCCAACATATTATGAAATTTTTCACTCCTTGCCACATTGAATGGTATGACATTGTTGTAAAAAAAAGAAGCAATATCTTGACACACTTCCTCTCTCAAATTCTTTTTGAATATGTTATTGAGAGTAACTTGATTACTTACTCCTCTCTTCTTGAAAATGTTCTCACTGCCTTCAACTTCACCCCCTTTTCTTTTTTCACCAGAATCACTCCCACCATCACCTTCTACAAGAAGTTCGTTGAGTTTGCTATTTGATTTCTTCATTAATTTCTCTTGTAAGGAGGACACAACTTGCCACATTTCTTTCCTCACTTCATCACTAACCGAAGAGTAAGCACCCACATCTTTTTGTGTTCCGGCTAAATGATGTTTTAATCCGTAAACTCCACAAGTTATTAATATTCGACAATAGTTACACCGAATTTTTCGTGCATCTCCATCCACAGATAATCCATGTTGCCATGCCACATCACTCCTGTTTCCAGGAGCATTTTTTCGCAAAGAACCAGTTACAACTGCACCAACAGAGCAGCTCACTGAGCCAGTAGAAGTGTGACCAATGGTAGGACTTGCAACCACTCTCCTACTTTCTGGTTGCCCTCTCTGGATTGCAGGTGTACTTTTCCCACGTGCAGACATCTTCAAACATGACAGAGAATGGGGAAAATAGATTCGCTGTGCTGGAGAAAAAGAGAAATATACGTCGTATGTCTGAGGAAGAAGGGAAGTGTGGATCGCAGTGCTGAGGAGGAAGAGAGTGTGGGTCGGGTGCTGAGGAAAAAACACTTTGCTGAGGAAGAAGAGAGTGTGGGTTGGGAACTGAGGAAGAAGACTTTGGGTCGCTGTCGACGGTGCTGAGGAACTTTGGGGTCGCAGTTGGCGGTGTTGAGGAAGAAAACTTTGGGTCGCCGTCGCCTGTGTTGAGGAAGAAAACACTGTGTCGTGGAGAAAGGGGCAAGCGAGAAGGGAAGAATGAAAAAAAAAAACCCTAACATCTAAGATTAAATAAGTCGGGTAAAAAATACAGGCCGGGTCAAATCGGGTAATCGGGTTTTTTTAAAGAATATGGGGCTCCATCAAACTCGTCCAGGATCGCACGCTTCCACGATTTCACGAGGAAGATCGTGCGATCCCAACTATCGCAGAAAATCGCGTCCAGGGCACGAACAGGATCGAAGGCATTGCAAAAGCTCGTGGAATCATCCGATATACGAGTAAGAAAGCGATTTTGACTACGCTGCTAAAAAGACAATATGGTCAAGATATTTTAGGGTCATTATTTTCAGATTCCTTAATTAATATCTGCTGAGAGAAACAAAAAAGATAAAAAAAATTGGTTTGGTAATATTTTTGGACAACATGATGACTTTTCTGCAAACTATTGAAATTCCTTGTCCTGTGTTGTGTTCCAAATTTCTGTTTCAAATCATTGTGCTTAATGCCTTAATGGATATCTTGTGGTGGGGGAAAAGAAGCCTGGCTTGCTCTAGTCACATCGTTCCCCTCATCAAATTGTTACATTCAACTTGCTATAGAATTATCAAATAACTGTTTGTTTTGATCATGTTTTATCTAATATTGTGTGATTATGTTCCCTCAGATACCCAAGGGTGTTCAACATGGACAGCTTCTGGTATTAAGAGGCAAAGGTTAAATGAAACGTTCACTCTTTCATGGACAGTTTTGAACAACTTCATTGTCCTTTTTTGTCCTTGTACTGGAAGAGTATATTTAATTTACTATGTTGTTGGTGCAGGCCTACCAAAGCATGGTTATCTTGTACATCATGGGGATCAGTATGTACGATTCCGTGTTAACTTTCCCACGTAGGTTCTTGTGTTTAAATCTTGTTATAACTTCATACACTCAGGTCTTTGAAAAATGTGTTATTATGTAAAGAATCAATAAAATGCTTTTCCTTATAATGTTGCTTTGATCTGAATTCCTTATGGATGCTTGCTGATTATGTTATAATGGAAAGTGGATTACTTAATTGTCAGCTCTCCCTTTTACTTTAGTTATCTGCTTCTGACACTGGCCAGAAGTAAGAAGGGAAAAAAGAAACCATGCAATTGATCAAGGAGCATGATATTAGTGCCATAGTAATTCATAGCACGTGGTAGTGACGTAGCAGAGTGGCCCTAGGCCACTACATGTTTTGCATCACCAAATGTGGCCGTTGTGCTGATATAGTGGTGTGACTGTGTCTGAGTGTCAGAAACCCATTTTCACTCCCTGAAACAGCATTGTTTGCATCTTTTTGAGGGACAAAGAGATTTCTGCCCCCTTTTCGGAACTTAAGGGAAAAATTCCTTAGTTTCCCACCCTTCTCTTATGTGACACTCCCATGCTATGCGACATCCACCTAGTTAAATACAAGCCTCTCTGTTTTGTGCGATACAATCCCAACCTCCTCTGGCAGTGTTTTTTATCACACTTACCCACCCTATGCAACACCTCTCCACCCTTCTTTCTTTTCTGAACTCTGAAGCAGTCTCTATGACATTCCGAAGTAACCAGCTCTGGCATCATCTCAAGGACCAATTCAAAAGAGTGCTGCTTCCTCAGCCTTCTTAGTGAACTGGCGACTACTTAATATCACATATCTTTAATTTTGGGTATTTTTAAATTTTTGAGTATTTTTATATCTAAAATAATTTTTTATGCTCATACCCATAATTTTGCTATAGCGGCCATCCTGCAATATGTTATCCAACTATATCATTTTTGAGGCTGGTTGTTATGCATTGCTATCTGAAATTGTTCACTTTGAGCTCTTCTTCTTCCTTTTAATGCTACTTCACAACTTTTGGGTTGCTATTTATGGTTGTTTAGTCAATGCTTGTTACTTTAGGTGTAAAAATTGCAGCATACATTTTAAAGATACATTCTTATCAAATTTGTTTTCAACTGTGGCTTTTTATGCCTTAATAAAATAGTATTCATATTAAGTGGTTTCCTTTTGTCCATTTGGTTATCTTTACTGATAAGTACTAGTCTGCTAACTGCTAAGTTACATCAATTCACTTCTGGTCCTCTCATCCTTGTAGTGCAATCAATGAACGACAACGTGCTATACTTGAAGAACTTGCAAAGGAGGAAATAAAGGAGGGAACTGGCTCTTCATTTGAAGGAAATTGGTATGCATCTTGTCTTAGTTCCTGGTATATTATGATAGTTTTAGATGGTTGAATTCCTAGTGAGGTTGGATGGTTGTGATTTTTGGATGGGGCAAGTCGTCATTACTGACATACTATTGTAGAATTAGTAAGACAAAATGCTTTGAAATCAAAGTAACTTGTAAAAAAATAGGTGTGCTTTGCCTAAACCCATGGTTATTTGGTTCTAAAAGGATTTTGAGAACAAGGGTTAAAATTTTCATTACGTACAAGTATTCCAGTAACTGCTTACAAATACATATATTTGGGCATGAATTGCATGATCACAGATGCCAGTTTCTGCATATGGAGAACTCACCCTTTAATGGATTTAGTTGATATCTTCATTAGCATGCATGCTTGACTTGTTTAGTTTTGTATAATTTGTCTCTGTTCTTGAATGACATCTGATTGTAATGGAGATCCAAAATGGATAACAGGCTTTACCAGCAGCTATCTACTGGTTGAACTTACAGGTGGCAGCAAATTCTTGAACACATGACGGGTCCAAAGTATATGCTGGAACTATCTATGCTGATATTATTCCTTGTCTTCATTAACAAAGTGTTGAGCTGATAGCTTGCTCATAGTTCAAACACAATTGCAGTGGACTTGACAAAGACAAATCCATGTAATTGCCATATTCTTCATCCTTACGGATCATGTAAAGTATAAGGTATGCCAATGAATTAATCTCTCATTCACTAAACCTATCTGGTATTTTCTAGATATTCTTTTCTCTTGCTTCTTTGGTGCATGCATATGCCGAAGTAGAGCAGAAACAGTTATTCTAGATGTTCCTAGGGTAATTATCCCTGGGCAGCTCCATGAAGGGTATGTCAACTGATGCTCATGACTATGCCCCGAATCTCTCAAGGTTGCATGCATGCACATCAGCACATTTTGTATTAATTGCTTTTTGTACAACTTTTCTTTTATTTTCCTTTTTTATTTGTTACAAATCATCCATTGATATTGAGGTTCAGAAAAGTCAATAAGTTTGCTAGGAAATGTAAATTACTTTATATTCATTCAATTACTCCTGTCTTCTGTAGTTAGCAGGATTGAATCTTCATATTGGGTCCATTAACAGATGGATGTAGAGGCTTGTTACCTTACAATTTGGGGCGATAGATATATCTTTGCTCATTACTCACTTTGTCCAATTGTGGCAGTTATAGGCACCTGACATCTATGGAAGTGGTGAATCTACGGAAATCAAGGCTATCGCTGAAATGATGCTATTTCTCAGTGCCAAATCCTTTTCCATTTTATCAAATTTTCAATGGATAAGTTGCCAGTGAAACGATGCTGAAAAATTATTTCATGAGAATTCTTCAACAAGTTTTGCTGATTTATGCGAAGGTCGCCGTGGAATACAAATAAAAGGTGGAAACTTCCGATGTATATTTTTTCCCCGTAATTGTTTAAATATATTTTACTGTGCATTTGATGTTGTAATTTCCCCTGCTCCGGGGGATGTGGGGTTTGGTTTCTTCAATGTATTCTTTTAGGCTTTAAACCGTATACCACAAATTACTTTCTGGAATTCAACGAATAATGATTGTTAGCTGCTAAGCAGAGCAATTTTTTATTAATTATAAAGTGACAATTTTGTCAGATTTTTCCGAAAAAAAGTTATAATAGTACTCAAACTACTATAATGTAAATAAGAATAACACCTAAAAATATGCGGACGTAAGTTAGCAAAATATTGCTCGAGTTGCTTGATTTGCAGTTGCACCATGTTTTCAACTCACGAAATAAGCTCAGTGGATGAAAGAATTTTATACTATAATAATACGGAGTTTGCAGGTCGTGAACGTTAATTTAAAAAAAAAACGCCCTTTGTCTCTTTCGTATCCATCTAAAAGCTTGATCGAAGCAAGCTAAAAATGGCTAGAAAAAGCCTATGACACAAGTGTATAAACTAATCTTAACATTTGCTATTGGAATGATTTTTTTAATATTTTTATACTTCATTATATAAAATTAAGAATTATCATTCTTTTCTCTATATGGGTGAAGTTGATAATTCAGTTTTGTTAACATGTTTGTTAGGGGTACCCGATAAGATCTTACATATAATAAGCTTTTGTTGAAAATCACAAAATGTTACAGGGTTTAATGTATTAATAATATTAAATATTATAATTTTTAATAAAAAATTACTATTTTTTAATTTTTTTAACATATGTTCTTAAGCAAAACTGTAGATAATTTTATGTTGTATGAAGTTAGATTTCTTTTTTTTATAAATATGTTGTCATTTAATTTATAAAATTACAACTACTATCTTGTGCAAATATAATGTAGCCCCAGTTTCAATAGTTTTCGACAAGTCTAAACATATCATTGTTTTCTAATTAATTTTAGAATGAATAAAAGAAACGTATAGTGATAAAGGGGAACACAGTTGTCTAAAATATCTCAGAATATTAAAAAAGATGCATCTTATCTTATCTAAAAATTTGAACTCATTACAGTATAAATTAATGCAAACATCTCTCTCTCACACAATAATGATTAGAAATAATAATTCTATTTTTATTTTGTTAAAAAGAATGATAATTTTGAGTATCAAATTCTAAAGATATCAATATATATTTTAACATTATCATTCAATCCTGCAGTGTAATATAAAAAGTTTGACATGATTATTATCTAGGAAGATCATATTTTAGCGATGGGTTAAAACATCATTCCATGCTGGATAAATGTAAATAATTTTACTTTAGTAGTACATCAAATTCGAAAACAGTATTTTTATTAATTGGAAACACCAAGGACTTTGTTTGATATTTATCAATACAAATTACAATTGATAGAACCGGTATTTCCAAGCACAAATTGACCAGGGGAATGCTATCATCAATCAAGACATGGACAGATGTATCCATATCTCAAAAGGGTGAGAAATGGCTTTGTCATTTTGTGGTTTTTCTCTAGCTGGGGCCAAAGCTAGCCTTCAATATTGACAATTCAACTCAAAAGAAGATAGTGAAATCCATTAACGACAACTTTACTTGCAATCATGTATTTGGAGGAAGACTAAGAGGCAACTCTCTTTCTGGGCAACGATTCTTTTTCTTTTTCCTGTCTTGTTTAAACTCACCATAGAAGTAGGACACAAACCCCCAAAGAGAGAGCACCAAAGCAACCCCTTTCTCCGCTTGAAAATTCTCTTTGTATACAATAACAGCCAAGACTTCCGTCACAGGTAGAAAAGCAGCAATTATAATACCAGAAAACAAAGACGAGGCACAAAATATAACCCCTATTGCTCCCAAGAAAAAAAACTGCCACATTATAGCACTCCCCACTAGCACAACATAGTACTTGGTTTCCCCAAGCTTATAGTCTCTCGCTTCTCGCGGAATCACCTGCAAAATTTATCACACACCCAAAATCGCAACACTCTCAATTACACATTGTAATTTGTAATAATAATATTAGTCAGAACAGAAACACTAACAAAACACCCTCAAATTGACTGTATCTAGTACACTGTCATACAAACTGAAGTTATTAATATCCGCCAAATCAGATAGGACTATTTACGTCGTTTTTTGAATCTCAATAAATTTTGACAAGGATAAAAATGTGTTAACAAAACACGTTATTAATACGAGTCCCAATAATTAATGTTTCTAGAAATTAGTATTAGCATTCAAGAATATTTATTATTGTGGATTATAAGAAGATAATAAATATTTTCTTAATAAAATTTTATTATTATTAATTACTTAAACTCAGTGCAAATTAACATTTTAAAAATTATATTAAAGCTGTATTAAAAAGTACAATTAGAGTATATTCCTAAGCTTTTAAACAAAAAGAAAAAGTAAATTTTAACCAATCATTAACGTAATAATTAGCTATTTTCTTAATGAAAAACAACAGAGAGAAAGAAGTAGAGAAATCTTATCAAAACCTGAAAGTCATTGTTTATGATCATCCCAACAGTGCAGAACAAAGTAGCAAAGAAGCACATAACAAGCTGAATCTCCATGACAAGAGTATAGGTAACATCTTGCTTGCTCTTCTTATACACCAACTCCATCAACGGCAAAACCAACCCATACAAAGCCGCAGCAGCAACTATCATTACAAAACCTATCACATACTCCCGAGTCGACTCACCACTCGGACGGTCCCCACTGGAACGCAACGCCAAAACCACCGCTCCAAGGCTCAACAACAGGATCGAGTTCACCGAATAGGCACTGAACTTTTGCCTCACCAAAAGGAACGCAAAGACTGCAGTGAAAGCAAGATGCGAAGCTTGAATTAACGATGAAGTGGACACGGGAAGACGCGCTATGCCACATGCGTAGAGGTAGTCGTCGAGGCCGGTGAGGATTCCGATGACGGCGGAGAAAAAGAATAAAGAGATTTTTATAGAAATAAGGTTAGGTTTGGTGACGTGACGATGATAATGATAGATGTGAGATATGGTTAAGGGAATGAGAATGATAGGGAAGGCAGCGGTTTCGAGAAAGGAAGAGAGCCAGATTCTGTTGCCACCATTGATGAAGTAGAGACGCATTACTAATGGGCCACCCGAAGTGCCTATTGCTAGGAGGATGGAGTTTACCACTAGAACGATTCTCTTCATCTTTCTTTTCTTTTCCTTTTCTTCTTCTTTTCTCTGTGCTTCTGTCATGGTGACTTAGATGCTAGATCGATGCTTTTCCCCTTCTCTACGAGCAATATTTCTAACAAGGAAAATGTTTTAATTGACTAGGGACGAGAAATGCTGGTTACATGTTATTTGAGCTATTATTTTTGTTAACAATAATGCTATTCAAATATACACAATACGTATACTAATACCCAATTACAAGTTGCATATTTGTTATTCTACACACCTGAACATAAAATGTCCTATAACTCTCTTGTTTATTGGCATCTGGTTCCTCCTCTCTTCTTCTTCTTCTCCTGGAACAAATAAAAAAAAAAATGTTTGAATCACGAAACTATGTTGTTGTTGTCATTCTTCAACAAAAAAAATTCCTTTCTCACTCTCGAGGACTTTTTATTATTGCGTGACTCTCTCTCACTTGTTCTCTATAACTCACTGTTCGGTATTTGCGTATTGGCCCTCATTCAAGCCTTTGAGTTGAATATAGGTTGAAATACTGGTTGGGCATCGGTTGTCACAACATCACATGTACTTTTAGTGTCCTTTTCTTTGAGTTTTTCACAATGTTGATGAGTACTCTAAAATCATTTTAGATTCCTCTGTGGTAGCCTTGATGAAGAAAGTGGGTGTTGGATATCAAAAATGAATAAAGAGAAGCTTAGTGACATGTTATTAACTCCTCCATGTGTTCTTACCCGTCAAGGTCTAAAAGGTTATCTTCTGCTGGACTTGAAGTCCAAAACATAGGTATGTATATATGTACACTATTGCATTGTGTTGATAAGGCTAAATTGATGAATGTTATGATTACCACATAGCCTTGATGGTTGATGCTAACAGGTATTGAAGAAAAAGTACATAGAAGTTAATGTCAATCAACTGAAGAGAAGATCAACCCTAAGTCAAACATTGGAACAAGGGTTAAGTTGAACACATATTAAAGGAAAAGAAGATTGGGGCCCTATCGATGAACTCTTTACACTATTAGGCATTTGAGGCCAAGGAAAATTACATAGATTTCATGTTAGACATTGTGAGACAAAATTTGAAAAAAATGTTAGATACAATTAATGACCTTAAGCCTATGTCATATCGTAAATCTCTGATGTTTAATAAACATCATCTTTATTGCTTGGACTAGCATTGGATTCCTTTGAGTAATTTGTGTCTTTCTCCACACCTTTACTTGTGCAAGGAGCAACCTATAAATAAAAAATATGTATTGAATTTACATAAATACCTTAGTCACATATTATCATAAGTACTAACCATTATAAACCTAATTTAATGAAATGTTGTATCGAAAGTACCTCTGAAATATCAATAGTTGTTAGGGGAATCTCCTTCCATGTTATGTCTACAAGTCCTCTCTACAACAGACAATATTATTAATGTTTAATAAAGCTGTGTACACCTGTATCATTACCAGTATATAAAATCTATTACCATCACATACAACTTATATGTACTAGCTATTGATGGTGAATTACCATCATTATACAGCTGTAATAATATTTATGTTATTATCATATTAGTAGTACTATCATTCTTATGGCCTAACATTGGTCACAACAAAAGAAAAGAACCTTATCGATCCTAATAATTAGGTCAGTAAGACATAAATCACAATTGTGTATACTCTGCAACATTACCGACATCTAAAATAAATTACCATCACATTAAAGTATCAAGTATTAGCATTTTAAATGTATTATTAGACCCTGGATTACACTATCTAACCTTAGATTAACAGAGCGACTCATGTCTAACCGCTATTATAAATTCATATAAGAGAGCAGCTCATGTGTAACCGTCTTATATTTGTATTAACAGAGCGGTTTCTGTGAACTGCTCTCTCTTTTAATTATTAAAATGTGACCATATGCAATATTACTAGTATCTAGAGTCAATTACCATCATATTGAAAATATAATTACTAGGTCTTTTTGTTCCCTTATCATCTTTATACAGTTCAATTAAGGCTAATTTGTTATCATTGCATGTTGAAGTATCATAGTTATAAGGAAATATTTGGTTACAAAAAATTAAATAAACTTATCTTCCAATTAATTAAGATTATGTATCATATTACAAAACCGAAAAATAAATCAGTAATAACTGCAACATTACCAGTATCTGGAATCAATTACCATCCTATTTAAAATTTAATTACCATCTTTATACAGTTTAGATAAAACAAAATTTTTACTATTTTAGATTTATTATAAAGCTCAGGTAACACAATTCAAGTATGTAAATCTTGTATTGATCAATAAACCATACATTATATTTATAAACAAAAATCACAAGGGTTACATTGCACAATTTATAACTTTACAAGAGATAATGTGAATACTTTGTTCTTGTATAATTCACTGTGTTCTATCTTACAAATAACAACAAACAGAAAATATTGTATTGTCCAAAAGATTCATATGCAGCTCGACTTCTAGCATCTGCCCAAAATATATTTCTTATGCAAAAGTCTTCATCAACATCAATATCATAACAAAACTGACTATTTTCTTCCTTCATCTTACAAAAATAATCCACCAATGCTTTTGAATCTCCTTCCTTGGCAATCAAACGTCTTTCCTTGTTAATGTAGTTTCTCACATCCTTTTCTACAAATCTCAAATTATCATGTCCACTAACATCATAAACAAGGGTTTGAAAAGTCTTGCTTATCCTCACCCTTACCTCATTGTGTAAATCAAGAGTTCTTCTTACATGCATGCTAATATTCTTATTTTTTTTTTGAAACATTCTAGCCTTCAAAGGACTCAATCTATGATAATATTGTAAAACAACTGTTTTTATAGACCATTTTCCAGATCTCCCTTTCTTTGCTACGATCTTTGCTCCACATTTGGCATCTATCTTGGGAAGTGTCTTCAAAGTTGTTGATACCTTTGAAGAACTCTTTCCTTCTCGTATGCATACAATTATCAAATAATTCAACTCTCCATCAGAGCTTTTTTTTTTAATTTCTAATCTTCCATCCAAAACCCACTTTAGTTGAAGAGTTCTTGTAAAATACTTTAATAGCTTCAACATCATCAAACTCCATTCCAACACTTGGCTCAACTATGTCAGAGCTATCACAGCTATCATCCTCACTAGCAACTTCACACATGGGCTCAACAACATTTTTATTGTCATGCTTTTGTCGTACCTCCTTAATAACCCTTTGCACCTCCATATGCTTTAAACGTTCAAGCTACAATTTGCAAAAAACACACAAAATAGAGACAAAAAAAATCAAACTTTTATAAAATAGAGGGTGTTCTATAAAACAGAGGGTTATGGGCGTGAGCTTTGTCAAAGACCCACTTACAAAAAACTATTCAGCTTAAATGCAAGACCCTGGATTTTTTATTGTGTTGCACCACCTTTGATAGGATTCATGTATCACTCAGATGAGAAGTGGGACAACAAACTCACACACAGTAACGCAGAGTGTAGGACGAGAGTAACGTGATGAACAAGTAACATGAAAAAGATGTAGTTTTAGTAGAGGAAAAACATGGTGAGATTGAAAAACTTGATATTTCTCGTGTAGACGTGAGAGGAAAAGTGGGAGAGACAAAGTGACACAGTAAATTGCTCAAGCTAGGTCGAAAGTAACGTGATGAAGAAGTTTTGTCACAAACATGTAGTTTTACAACAGGAAGGAGATGGCGGGATAGTTGGAGGAATTTTTTAATTTTTTAATGAGTTGTGGTCATGTCTTCACGTGTTTTTTTTTTTTTTTTAGTAATTGGTTACCTGTGTTGGTGAATAGCTTAAGTTTGGTGCAACCGAGTACATTCTCCTTAAACAACTGTTATCATATTACTAGCAGTTTTGGACTTATCAGCTAATATTGGTGATAACTCAAGAAATAACCTTACGTAAGTTTAGTAACACATATTATACAAGAGAAAAAGAAATTGTGTTAACCCTGCAACATTACCAATTTCATATTAAAATTACTATCACATTAAACATTGAATTACCAAGTTTATATGTTAATTACCATCTTCATACAATTTAGACACAACACATTTTCTATGATATTAGTAGCAGTTTCCTATTAATGGCCTAATATTGGTGACAAAAATTTAATAACCTTTTGTTAGCCATTAATTAAGTTAGTTCACTAACATATATTACAGAAGTAGAAAAAATTTGTGTATACCATGCAACATTACCACTTTTTACATTCAATTACCATCAAATTGAAAATTGAATTATCATATTTTTATGGTGAATAACCATCTTTATACAATTAAAATTAGGGGTGTCCACAGGTCGGTTTGGTTAGGGTTTGGGAGAAAAAATAATTCGAACCGATTAAAATGGATTAGTTTGGTTTGGTTTGGATTTGAGGAAAAGAAATTGAAAATCTGAACCGATCCGAACCAAACACAAACGAGTTGGTTCAGTTTGGATCATCAAATTGATTGTCCAATTAAATAATATAAAATAAAAAACATATAAAAATAAAAAAAACTTTATTTTTTTAATTCGAATAATTCTTGACACATAATTTTAACACAAATACACAAATTCAATACAAGTCTCAATTCAAAACAAAAAAATCAAATTCAAAATAAGTGTCAAAGATCTTTATGTGAGTTACGTGATTTACTACTAAGTAGTATTCATCGGGTTAATTGGGTATATGTTCGGGTGATCAGGTTGGCACACTGCCACCCATTATCTGAACCAAATCAAGTCAGGTTTGATTCGTTTGGATTGGATCGGACCCATTAAACATTGATTTGGATCATTTTCCAGTTTGGATTATCAAGTTCGTTGGTTTACCCAATATGATGGACAACCCTAATTAAAATAATAGCATTAATGTTATCTTACTCAAAATTAACAAAAAAAACATATGTAAAATGATTTAACATTAGCTTATACACTAAATTACTAGACCCTAGGTAAAAAATGTACTAACTTAATATATGAAATTAACTAGATTCACTAACTGTTGTTGTCTATAAGACTACTACAGAGGAATCTAAAATGATTTCAGAGTACTCATCAACATTGTGAAAAATTCAAAGAAAAAGACACTAAAAGTACATGTAATGCTGTGACGACTGATGTCCAACCAGTATTTCAACCTATCTTCAACACAAAGGC